TAAATAAGAAAAAACTACCAGTATCCAGAATGAGGCTTACGCAGGGGCATTCCCTTTTTAATATTTTGAATTTAAGATATATATATATATATATATATATATATATATATATAGTACGAAGCAAAAATATGAACGCCCCCATAGAAGGTCGATTTAGTATTTTTACCAAAATAGTGATAGAATAGGTTGAATGTTGTGGTATTAATACTCGTCCATACTCCCTTGATTTTGTACAAATTACCAACTCCTGCTGCTGCTGAGAATGTACTCCAAACGTTGATTTTTTTATCATGTTTAACAGTACCCTTGGTAGTCACTAAAGTATTCGTTTCACCGGACGCACACCAAACACGTATTAGTCCTTCATATCAAAATAGTAAAGGGGCTATCGTCACTCCACATAACATGTTCCCAATCAGATTTAGTCCAGTGTAAATGAGCTTTGCACCAAGCCAACTGTGGCCGTCGATTTTTTTCCAAATACAAAAGGTTTCTTTTTTTATGTATTTGGAAACAATGTCTTTTGATTTAAGCCTGCATCTGACTGTTCTTGAAGAAACCGCCAAACTAGCCACTTTGGACACGTCTTCTGTTGTTGCAAATCGATCATTTTTTGCATTGACGAACCGAGTATCTATCTTCCCTGTCGGTAGTTTTAGGGGTCGGCCAGATCCACTACGTCTATTATATTTTCCAGTTTGATTTCTCTTTTTGATTAACTTGCGGATACATGATTCACTTTGATTAATCTTATTATCTATCGATCTATTCGACAGCCGAAGATCATGAAAAGCGGCAACTTAGCCTTTCTTAAATTCAGAACAATGCTTAGGCATCTTAATAAATGGAAATACAAATGTAATGAGCCTTATTTTTTGCTCATCATCATTTCTATGAGTGTGTCCATTTTTTAGCCTCGTACACACACACACACACACACACACACACACACACACACACACACACACACACACACATATATATATATATATATATATATATATATATATATATATATATTTAATGAAAAACAGACCTCTTTAAGGTATCATTACAATAATTAATTTCACCAAAATCCTTTTTAAAGGACTCCGGATCATCAGGTAACAATTCCCAAGGCAGAGTATAGAGAGGGGTTAATTTCATATTTCTCTTAAGCATGCTTTATATTGGGGTAGGAGGAGTGACCGAACCGTGACCTATTTAGATGGTTAACTTAACGGAAATGATATATAGGAATGGGAGGGGAGTGCGGAGAAAAGAAAAGGAAAAATGGAAAGGAGAGAGGAGACAGACGACAGTAATACAGATATATCTAGATATGAAATTAACCCCTTCCTATACTCTACCTTGTCTCTTTAACTACAACTCTCACCCCCCCCCTGTTAAATTACAAAAATTACACTACCCATCAATTTCTAATCCCATTTTTCCTTTCATTTCGTTGTTGGAACTGTTACCTGATGATCCGGTGTCCTTTAAAAAGGATTTTGCTGAAATAAATTATTGTAATGGTATCTTAAAGTGGTCTGTTTTTCATGAAATATTAGCTCTGTATTCACATTGAGCTCTCAGGATGTCATCCTCCTTGGAATTACCCATTCGGTTTACCAAGTTCTTCATAACTTAATTATATATATATATATATATATATATATATATATATATATATTGTCATCCACTGACAGACTGTTTCGCTGTATGACAGCTCTTTAGTGTAGCTAGACGTCCGATTACTACAAGCCGATTTGGTATCACAGATAAAGGTTAATTTTAACGTTTTCTAAGCGAAATGCGTCAGGACCCGGAGAGCTCTATTCAATTCGGTTGAAGAGCAACACGTTAGTTTAGTAGGAGCCACTGTTTATAAAATGAGCGTTTAGTATGAGCCACTGTTTATAGATTTACCCTTTTTTCAAGAGAGCTCAAACGGATTTTGCGGGAGTATATATATATATATATATATATTGTCATACACTGACAGACTGTTTCGCTGTATCACAGTCAGTCGGAGATGCTACCCCTAGGCCATCGTCTCACGGCAGAGAGGGTGGGAAATTTTAACGTTTTTATATGTGAAATACTTCATTGCCCCTTTTTATTTATACAAACATTATTTTTATTTTATAATCGTATATGAATAGCCGCTTCATTTTAAAACACTCTGCCGACCTGTGCACTAGAGAAAACCTTATAAGGAAAATGTACCCCCATTGTAGGAGAAACCTACGTCCTTTCTCGGCTTGCTTTAGACCACTCGGTCGCGGATAGCATCACAGATCAGCAAAGTTCTGTTTACCCTTTTAAGCAATGCACATACTCTTCTTCAGACGTTTTCGAAAGACGGTTTTGTAAACAAAGTAATTTCTAAAGAATTAATGGATTTATTTTTAATTCGAAATTTTTCTTGCTTCAATTTTTTTTTTATTATTAAGTTTACTCGAGTGCGCAAGCCGGTATATGCATTACACACGGTTTAAGAAGCAGGTTGTCTATTAAAATAACGGATATCCAGTTAAAATTATGTCTGAAGTGATTGAAATATCTTATTCACAATAAATCTACTAATTCTTTACAAATTGGTTGGTTGATTCGTTTACAAATCATCTCACTGCAGGTTATTTAAAGCCAGAAAATATTTTTAGAATGTAGGAAATTTTTGGAACATAATAATGGTTTAGTTATACAAGTTTAACTAATTAACCTATAGCTGGGGGGAGAAAAATTGGATTCATACTTTTTGCAAGGATATTTGCGTGTAAGTGTATATAACGAAAAAGGAATTGGAACTCGGCTCTCCGACTAACAATTCAAAGCCAGGAACCGGTGCCTCAATGTGACCTGACCGTAAGCTTTAGAAATTACAGTTTACTATAAAGTTAGATAATTTAGTTAAGATTATGGGCGTCGTAGATTCATTTTGAACAGTGGCATTTTGATGGCGATTTTAATTAAATATAAGATATAACAGGATAACATATAAGATATGAGAATGCAGTATAAACCTCTACCACAATTAATTAGAGAAACCTCTATTTTGGGACTGCGAAAGGATCCACTTTAATTAGCTAATTATCCTTGCTATAGCCAAAGTGTGAAGACTTGCATTTATATTATGAAAAAGAATTCACATCTTTCCAAATTAGATACAGAGGCAATCATCTGTATATTCACATAAAGTTTTCGTCAAGAAGTAAAATTAAAATATACTTCTTGGTGGAAACTATGTCTGAATACCATATTTTCTTGCGTGTATTACGACTTCGGTACAATACAAGCCCCGTTTTTGTTTCTTTTTTTTAAACTAACGGCAAGAAATAAACGATCCCGTAGTTCTGTACACACAAGTACACGTTTTCAGAAATTTATGTTCAGATGAAGAAACTTTTTTTTGAAACAGCAACATTGGAAATACATTCAATACAACAGATAATAAAAGACAGAATAGGCAATTATTCATACCAATTGTGTGAAAAAAGGAGACAGGGTGTAAGACAAGGGTGTGTCTTCTCACCGGATTAGTGAGAAGACACATCCTTGTCTTACACCCTTTTTTAGAAGCCTTGCTGTTGTAACCTAGGGAAGGTTGCTGAATAGAATAATCACACAAAGGTTGGTAATGAATGATAATACTTAGGACAAGAACAACACATATAAGATTCGCCAGCGGCGTGTAGAAGAAGTAGTCAACTGCTAGAAGTGAGTCAACTGAATTCTACAATGAATCTCTAACTGCAGGATATATAACCGGTCAACACGGTCAGATGTGGAAAAAGGCTGAATATAATGTGAGGTATCCGAGTCCGTAGACGCGGCCAAAAATTCCCCGTACACTCCGTATAAAAGCGGGTCGGGTACCTGTTTCCTGAAACGAGATTCTGCGTTTTAACATCGCCTTGTCTGGGGATCCCTTCTGCCTGGAGGCAGAGAGTTTGGCCAGCATAGCTGGAGACGAATCTCCAACTGCTGACCAACATACAGTATTCACTTCTGTATTTATTTGAATACCCATTATCGTCCGTAGGTATGCTACAACACTTACCATAATTCATTACTGGCGGCCACAATCTTAACAAGATAACATATGCAGGTGACAAAATGTTGATAGTAGACACGGAAAGGAAACTAGAAAAGCTCCTACAGAACGTAGCGAAAGAAAGCGTGAAGAAAGGACTATTTATGGTCTACAAGAAAACTGAATGCATGGTTATCAGCAAAAGGATGAACCCAAAGTGTGAATTACAAATTGGGGAAACTAAAATCAAACATGTACAGAAATTTAAATACATGGAAAGCGCGACACTGAGATCCGAAGACACATTGGGATGGGCAAATATGCCTTCCAAAATCTAAGCAAAGTATTAAGAAAAAGAAAAGCAAAGAAGAGAGTACTGAACTGTTACACGATATCTGTCTTCCTGGATGGCAGCGAATGCTGGAAAATCTCTTTAAAGAAGTAAGAGACTTGAAGCGGCAGAAATGTGGTTTTACAGAAAGATGCTGATGATACCATAGACCGAACCTTTTGGCGACGACGAGGTTTTAGAGAAAATGGAAACAAAAAAGAAACGGGAGTGCCACTAGCATGCAAGCGGTAAAGATTGGGAGCAAGAGTAAAGAGGGAAGGGTTACAGAGAGTGAGAGCAAGAGAAAGGGAAGGGTTACAGAGTGAGAGCAAAAAAAGAGGAGGTTACAGAGAGTGAGAGCAGAGTAAAGAGGAGGGGTTACAGAGGAGAGCAAGAGTAAAGAGGAGGGGTTACAGAGAGTAAGAGCAAGAGTAAAGAGGAGGGGTTACAGAGAGTAAGAAACAAAAAGTAAAGAGGAGGGTTACAGAGAGTAAGAGCAAAAAGTAAAGAGGAGGGGTTACAGAGAGGAGAGCAAGAGAAGAGGAGGGGTTACAGAGACGGAGAGCAAAAAGCAAAGAGGGAGGGTTTTGAGAGGAGAGCAAGAGTAAAGAGGAGGGGTTACAGAGAGAGGAGAGCAAGAGGAAGAGGGAAGGGTTACAGAGAGTGAGAGCAAAAGAAAGAGGGAATGGTTACAGAGAGGAGAGCAAAAGTAAAGAGGGAGGGGTTACAGAGAGTGAGAGCAAAGTAAAAGAGGGGAGGGGTTACAGAGAGGAGAGCAAGAGTAAAGAGGAGGGTTACAGAGAGTAAGAGCAAGAGTAAAGAGGAGGGTACAGAGAGTGAGAGCAAGAGTAAAGAGGGAAGGGTTACAGAGAGTGAGAGCAAAGTAAAAAGGGAAGGGTTACAGAGACTGAGAGCAAAGTAAAGAGGAGGGTTACAGAGAGTGAGAGCAAAAAAGAGGAGGGGTTACAGAGAGGAGAGCAAGAGGAAGAGGAAGGGTTGAAGAGAGGAGAGCAAGAGTAAAGAGGAAGGGTTACAGAGACTGAGAGCAAGAGTAAGGGAAGGGTTACAGAGAGTGAGAGCAAAAGTAAAGAGGGAGGGGTTACAGAGAGTGAGAGCAAGAGTAAAGAGGGAGGGGTTACAGAGAGTGAGAGCAAGAGTGAAGAGGGTTCTTTGAGGAAAGAATGAAGAGGAGGACGGGAATCAGGATCAAGGCATCAGAAGATGTCGATTGACATTACATTTGAATATTTGAAGATTATAGCTATCAGGGAAGCAAGCAAGAGGAAGGGAGTTACACTGTCGATAATCGAAGAAGCTGTTGGAGTAGAAGAGGAGGTTACCTTTAAATGTTCCGATAGCGAAAGGGTGGGACCGAGATGCCAACCAAATAACACGCTAAAATTCATGCAGTTTTGCTACCAGTGAAAGTAGCCCGTCAGAGCTGTTGCCATGAAAATATCCGTAGAAAACTTGATGAGATTCCACAAATGCATTGTAGAACAAGAACTTATTAAGAGCTACAGGGTATAGGAAGATATGGAGAGCCATGATCGCCTACTTCCTGAAGGAAGACGGCACATAAAAGAAAAAGTACAACCATCCCTATATAATTGTTCTTTTTTAAGTTGTAATATATTGGCCATTAAAATCTTAAATGTCGTACATATATTTGACAAAAATACTTAATTTTTCACGGAATTAAAGAACAGAAATGAACCGGATGTTTAATCATTGCTTGTTTCTTCTTCTAATTTCCGCTTTAGAACTTAATTTCCAATCTTCGCGGTAAGATGCTTTGTTGTAACATTAATGTTATGAAAACATGACAGTTCTTTTGTGTTCTCTTTCTTAATTTCTTTAATTAGTTTCGAAGAATTTCCTGCCTTTGAGACAAAAGAAGTTCAACCGCACTGCTTTCCAAAGAATAAATATCGCCGACATATCAAATAACTTTTTGCAAACAATTGGTATCAACCTCTGCCTATTTTGTCTTTTATTATCTAGTAGCATAAAAGCCACCCTATCGAGAGGCATTTAAGTTAGCTAGCTCCTGCAGAGGGCTCTTGATTGTTCCTTCGATGTTTCAGAACAAATATTGCCGACATAACATTATCAACCTCGGCCTATTTTGTCTTTTATTATCTAGTAGCATAAAAGCCACCCTATCGGGCGGCATTTAAGTTAGCTAGCTTCTGCGCAGGGCTCTTGATTGTTCCTTCGATGTTTCAGTGTTTCACAAAGATCAAATATTGCTGACATATCATTATCAACCTCTGCCTATTTTGTCTTTTATTATCTAGTAGCATAAAAGCCACCCTATCGGGCGGCATTTAAGTTAGCTAGCTTCTGCGCAGGGCTCTTGATTGTTCCTTCGATGTTTCAGTGTTTCACAAAGATCAAATATTGCTGACTTTGTTGACTTTTATTATCTGTTGTATTGAGTGTATTTCCAATGTTGCTGTTTCAAATAAAAAAAATTTCTTCATCTGAACATAAATTTCTGAAAACGTGTGTAATACGACTCTCGATTTTAACATTAATTTTCGTTTAGATTTTCTCGTATCACAAACCTGAAAATACGTGATATCAAGCGTAATCATAAATATACGATATTTGTGGAGCTGAATTTAATTTGAATGATAGCGTTCCCTAAACATATAACTGGATGTAACCAACTACAATAGCGACTGTCTTCTATTCTTGAAAATGACCGAGGACATTGATTAAAAATTGAACTTTGAATATTTTATTCCAAATTTTGTTTTACATGTGTAGATGAGGCGGGGCGGATTCTTCGTTGGAGACGACGAGCAAGGTGGATTTATTTTTAAATTTAACGTCGTGTAGAGCCTGCAAGACAGCAGTTGGTTAAACCAAGATGGTTTTGAATTTAGAGTTTTCCTTTTTCTAGGCTGGTTGCCAGCCAAGGCTATAGAATTGAAGCTTAGCCTGCCCTGCTATTTACACACAGCTGAAGAGAGAATAGTTTGATTCATAAGTGCACTAGCAGGAAAGTGAATGTAATCAAATCGATTGGAATTCGAACATGGCTCTCCTATCCGAGCCGAAATGCATTACTCTCCCGTGCCTTACTAGTAAAATTTCTCTGTTTAGCGTTCATTTATTTGTTGCAATTTCGCTCTTAATTTTTGAA